CGGCTCGGACACGCACGCTGCCAGGTGGTACGTCGCCCCCCTCTTCCCCTCTTCTGCTCGGCCACCCCCCCAACTGCGAGCATTGTCCTTCTCGCAACGGCTGCTCCTGATCCTTCCCATCCTCTTCTCACTCCTACACCTCATCCTTCCACTTCCCCTCATTATATATATAGCCTCTCCCGCATGTTGCAACTCCTGCACTTTCTTCTTCAATGCGTAGGCAGGGCTCCCACCTCATCCTCACCATCCTCCACATGATTCCCCTCCTCCTCCTTCTCCACCTTTCCCTCCTCATCGTCCTGATCTCTCTCCTCACCGAGTCCGGCAACGCGGCTAAACCCAAGAAACTGGCAGAGGCAACAATACGGTCGTCATGATCATCGGCTGGCTTGCTCACAGGGCCACGATCGGTGGGACCAGGGCACCTACCGTTTATCCAGCCCCTGTTAGGAACCATCGTCTCGCCGATCGACGCCAGCGACATCGGGATGAAGAAACGTCGGGTCGCAGATCGCTCAACACCACCGATGCATCGGGGATGCGGTGCGGCCTGGGGGCGCCCGCTCAGTCCAGCCCCGAACGTGAGGCCCCCGGACGCGGACGGCGCGGGCTGAGCACCCCTTGAACGCGCACTGGATCACCATGTGCTCGCAGCTGGCCCTGTGCTCCTCCAGCTCCTCCGGGCGGGGCGGCACCGCTGGCGGCGCCGCGACGGGGCCGGCGGCGGCAGGGACAGGGAGGGGGGGAGGCTGGAGGGCCGGCGGCGAGAGCCCTGGGGGGAGGGAGGCGGGAGGGGGCGGGCATGCCCAGGGGGCCCGGACGGCCTCGGGCCTCCCGAGAAGTGCTCGGGGGCCTCCCCCGGAGGCGCAGGGCACTTCTGGGAGGGCGCGGGGACGTCCGAAGAGAGCCCCACCGCCTTCTGAGAAGGCGCGCTCCGTCTCACTTCCCCCCCCCCAGGCACGCCGCCGAGAGGATGAAGAGGGGGAGGTCATCGAAAACATGCTCGGCCGCATGCGGCGCTGCCAAGGGTACTGTGCGGATGCTCCCGGGACAAGGCGGTGGAGGTGGGGGCGACGGGCGGCACAGGGGGGTTCTGGAACAGTTCGGGGAGCCTTCAGGGGGGGTGCAAGGATCCGCCCCTCAGCCTGCGAGAAAAGAGGGTGTGCAAAAGAAGCAATACTAGGTAGGACGAGGTGGAAGATGGAAGAGAAGGAGGTGGAGGAGGAGGAGGAGGAGGAGGAGGAGGAAGAAGAGGAGGAGGAGGAGGAGGAGGAGGAGGAGGAGGAGGAGGAGGAAGGAGGAGGAGGAGGAGGAGGAGGAGGAGGAGGAGGAGCGCGCGCCAGTACCTTCCGCAGAGTTCGTCAACGACTCAACCTCGACGCCTTGGACTGAGCCACCTGTATGGCCTAGCCGCGTTGGGCGGAGGGGGTAATATCGAGCAGTTGTTTGGCATGTTGGCTAATGCCGCTTTGAGGGCATCTAGCTGCTGCGGTAGAGTTAAAGGGCGCCCGTCTTGATGCGAGGCGATTGCCTCAGCAACGTCGTAAATATAGATACTGAGAGCTGTTGCTAGAGTTGCATTTTCCCGGTTGAGGTCAAACGCGGGATATTGCACAAGCGGCCCAAGCCCTAGACGGAGGAGGGGGCACGGCGAGACGACAGCTCGAGGACGACAAACGAGGTAGGTGAGACGGGGGCACTTTACGTAAATAGTGCGCTATGCAATCGGTGTGGGAACACCCGAAATCACAGCTCCATAGAGTGTCTGTGACGTCCATCCCCCGAAATCGTCATGAGGTGCGGCCAGCGAACGCTCGGACGGGCCCGACAGAGGATTTCCCGCACCAAGTCCCATCTCGCTTTCATGCTCCGGGGAGCAGGACAATCAAACCAAGACCGCAGGCGACGCCCAATTAGGAACTCAAGCTTATCGGGATAAGCGAAACTCGCAAGCGCACGCGTATAGTCCCTGCAGCTTGGGCCGACGACCCTCCCGGGCGGCCTCACGCACGGCGCTTCGCGCCCCGCGCTGGGCGAGGCGAAGCCGCTCAGAGGAGAGAGGGGGTGCGCCATCGGAGCGGCGGAGCGAAGCTGCTCATGGTATTGAACAGTCGCTTGCCGACGATGCCAGCATGGGGCACACCAGCTGCCCTGGACGAAGTCTACTCCGAGGCCCCCGGCAGCACTTGAGGCCTCCGCGGCGTCCCTGAGACGGCGGTGAAGGGGGCCCCAAAAGGACTCGAGCGTGAGTGAAGCACAGCGCCAGGCACAAGCCAGGGCAGTGAACAAGAGCGAGACGGGGACGGGGGAGGGGGACCACAGACCGAGAGAGAGAGGAGCTCAGAGAGAACGAAGGAGTTGGGCGGAAGGTGCAAGGCCTTCTGCAGGCCCCACAGTTCTTTCCTCCTCCTGGCGTTGCTGAAGGGGTAAAACTGCGCCGCCACATAGGACGTGCAGGACAAGACCGATCAGTTGTACAATCTGGCAGACACGTCGGCGGAAGAGGCAAGAGCACCGAGCGCAATGCACCTGTTTCGCCACGTCTGGAACGGGACAGCCCATTCACTGTCGAGGGTCGCACCCGGGCCCTGGAGGGTTCCGAGATATTTAGCTTTAGGGGCGACCAGAGATTGAGACCAGCAGGGTGCCCACCGGGAGAGCCCTGTCTGGACCACAGATTTAACCTCATCTGTAAGGCCGGTCCAGAAGGGAACGATCACACACTTGACGGCATGCAGAGATAGTGCCGCTTCTCTCTGGCGCAAGGGCGCGAATTGTCTTCAAGGCACGAAGGACCGTGCCGATGTCATCCGCGCAGGCTCCGAGAGAACCAAGCTGACGAGTGGGGAGCTCCCGAGAGTGGGGACGAAGGAAGGGGTCAAGCCCAAGTGCCCACAAAATGCCACTGAGAGGGCACCCCTGGGCCACGCCCGAGAGGATTGGGATCTCCCTCACACGTTTGCCTCCCACTTTGACCTAGCATACCATGTGTGAGCATAGACCAGCTATGACATGCCTGTAACCGAGACGGATTTTGAAACGCTCCAGAACTTTGCACTAATACGTTCTGTTCAGGCTCGCGACAGCCGAAGAGAAGTCGAAGCTGATCAAACAAACTGGATGGTTCTCCGCTGCCTCCGGATCCATCGAAGCAATCCTGCATTCGAGGAAAATCCTACCCGAGATGACGAGGAGGAGAGGGAGGAGGAAGAGGAGGAGGGGGACGAGGAGGAGGAGAAAGGAGGACAAGTGGACATAAGGGAGCATGATGAGAAGCCGAAGGCGGGGAGGAGAAAGAGGAGGACGGTGCGGAGGTGCAAGACGATCTCCCCAGGAATCCCACCAACCCTTTAGGGCGTAGGTGGTTTAGGGTGTTTCCTCTTCCGCCCCCTTCTTCCCCTTCGGGGAGAGGTTCACTTCTCCCCCTAACCCCCTCCCCTGGACCTGGACAGGGCATCCCGCGAGTCGTCGGAGCGTCCAAAACGGCCTCGGCGAGGAAGCCACAATCATTGGTTGTAATAAGGTTTTGGCACCATGTTGGCATCGTGTGGGGGGGGGGAACGCAAATTAAGGACCCCCCCCTTTCTTTGATCGACTCCGAGATGGCCCCAAGAGCGCTCCCAAGGCTCCCAAAAGTGCCCCAAGAGGGCCCCAAGAGGTGGCCAGGAGGCCCCAAGAGGCCCCAAAGAGCCCCCCAGGATGCCCCCAAGAGGCTCCCAAGAGACCCCCAAGAGGCCCCAAGAGGCCCCCAGAGGCACCCAATACGCTCCAAGAGGCCTCGGCGACAGTGCCACAACCACTCATTTACCAAGGTTTTGGCCACAAGAGCGCCTAGGGGAGCCCAAGATGACCTCCAAGATGGTTCAAGATATCCCAAGATGCCTCAAGATGGCTCCCACGATGCTCCAAGTGGCCAAAGAGCTCCCCCAGGAAGCCCCCAAATCCTTCCAAAGTCTTGGGGAAGTACATGTTGTTGGCGTCCTCGCGTTTTCGCTTCCGACGGCCATCCGAGGCCTCAAGATGGCTCCAAGATAGCCCTCCCAAGGCCCCCATGAGCGATTCAAGAGGGCCCCAAGAAGCGCCCAGGAGGCCCCAACGGGCGCCCAAGAGGCCTCTAAGAGGCTCCCAAGAGACCCCCGAGAGGCCCCAAGAAGCTCTCCGAGGCACCCAAGACGCTCTAAAAGGCGCCATGCGCCTGGGACATCCAAAAGGCCCCCAAGACGCATCAAGAGGCCTACACAGGGGGACCCTTCCTCTGCGTGCTGCCCACTTTCCTGATCGAACCAACTCCTCTGGGCATCGTTTCTGGATGGGCTGGTGTGGGGTTACACGAAACGTATTTAGATTCTCCGAAACTTCCGTCACACATCCGTGCCGTCCCTCCTCCTCTTACCCCCCGTCCATGTTTTCGGATACTCATCGCTCAACTTTTGGTTTACTTACGCAGCGCATTCGGGCGTCCCCTACCGCGCTCACGCGCCCGCGGCCCTCAGGAGGGGCGGGCGGCCGGCCCGGCGCGAGCGCGGGGCCCCCTGGACGCCGACGGGAAGGGCAGAGGCCACCACCCTTTCTCCGACACGTCCTGAGACCTACAGAGGAGGAGGAGGAGGAGGAGGAGGAGGAGGAGGAGGTGGAGGTGGAGCGTGGCCGAGGAGGAGGAGGAGGAGATGCGGAAGAGCGGCCAGGCAGCTCATGATGTGTTTGATGTAGACGTGGTATCTTGTCAGTAGCGTAGTAAGTGTAGAACCCTTGTCCACAACGCTGTGCAAGTCCTTGATCTTATGCGGACAAAAATGCTGCACACGTGCCTTTACCTCTGCGACTTCCACTGGATTGCAAATCTGCCTGCCGCGGACTTGCGGCCGTCCTCCCGTCGGACTGTGGTCTGCAGGGAGTCGACCTGTATTCCTACGCAGTCGACGTACTTATTGTCAAATTTCGCCCCGACAATACCACTCAGTGTAACCGATCGCTTGGTCGCCTTGGGCTCCCGACTGCGGCGGTACCCATCCGCCTCGTCGTTGTCAAACATCTCAACACCCATGTCCCAACTCACTACGCTGACATTCTGGGACGGGCGCGTGCTTATTGTAACTTTCACGTTTTACCACTGCTATTCCACCGACTGCTTGAGATGCGTTCCGTGCAATCCCCTGGAAACCGTAGTTCTTGAGCCAAGACCTGTGACTCCGACTGTAGATCCAGTAGTAGTCGACCCACTCGAGCACAGAAGGTGGCTCTCGTAGCCCAGCCGGATGTCCTCGTAGCTCTGCGCGTGGCCCCAGCGGCTCAGCTTGTGTTCCTTTTTGTTCGCTGGTGGGCCACGCGGCTCTGCGGCAGGTTATCGTCGGTCAGCATCTGGCCCTTGTAGCTTCGATGGGGTTTCTCGTAGCTCAGGGAGTGGCCCAGGTAGCACCGCTGGTGAATCTGGTAGCTCGGCCTGTGGCCCTCGTAGCTCCGCTGGGAGCACGCGTAGCGTGCTCTGCTTGCGGCCCTCCCTCGTGGCTCGGCCGGCTGCCCTCGAAACTCAGCAAATGTTGCTGGAAGCCCTCGAGGCTCTGCACGTGGCTTGTAGCCCAGCTGGTGGCACCCGTCGTTCTGCTTGCGGCTCTCGCTACCCAGCACGTGGTCCTTGTAGCTCAGCGGGTGGTCCTCGTAGCCCTGTGCGTTGCCCTGGTAGCGCAGCTTGTGGCCCTCGCAGCTCAGCAGGTTGCCCTCGCAGCGCAGCTCTCGTAGCTGCGACTGTGGTCCTCGTAGCTCATCTCGCAGTCTTTGTAGCTGTGCCGGTGAATATCGCAGCTGTGTCTCTGAGCATCGTAGCTCAGCTTGTGGTCCTCAAAGGTATGTTGGGGGTTCTGGTGGATCATCTTGTGGCTGTAGCAGCTGTGCCTCGTGGCCCAGCTGGTGCCTCTGGTCGCTCAGCAGGTGGTCCTCGTGGCTTAGCCAGCGGCCCTCGTAGTGCAGCAAACAGCCACCGTGGTTCAGCTGGTGGTCCTCATAAACCAGCTTGCGGACTGCGTGGCCCAGCTCGTGGCTCCAGTGGCTTTGCTGGGGGTTCTCGTAGCTCGGCAGGTGGGTCTTGACGCTCCTCTGGTGGCTCTTATAGCTGTGCCTGTGGTCCTCCTAGCTCAGCTCGTGGTCCTCGGAAAGTCGATAGTGGCCCCGATAGTTTTGCTGGTGGCTGGTAGCTGTGCTCGCTGCCCTCGAAGCTCAGGCTGTGGGCCTCGTAGCTTTCGAAGTGGACCTCGTGGCTCGTGCGATGGCTCTCGAAGTTTTGCTCGCGCCTATCGTAGCTGAACTGGTGGCCCTGGTAGCTCTCCTGGTAGTCCACGTAGCTATGCTGGGGGCCCTCGCATGTGAGCTGATTGCCCTCGTGTCTCAGCTGGTGGGCCTCGTAGCCCTGCCTGAGGCGCACGTAGGCCAACTCACGGTCCTCGTAGCTCCAGTTGTTTGGCTCTAATGGCTCAGTTTGTGGCGCTCGCAGCTCTGTTGGTGGCTTTCGTAGCTCGGCAAGCGGGTCTTGCAGCACTCGTGGTGGCTCTCGTAGCTGTGCGTGTGGTCCTCGCAGTCCAGCTTGCAGTCCCGAAAGTCGTTTGGTGGCCCTCGTAGCTCTGCTGGTGGCTACCTTAGCTCATCGGGTAATCTTTCTCCGTAGTCCCCAAGGTCCAAATCGGGGTCGTCGGCTGACACATCGTAGTGTTCCACGTTCTGGAAACCGGAATAGTCATGGGGATCGGAGGAGTACAGGTCGCAGTCGAAAGAACTGCCATAGTAGTAGTTACTGTTAGAAGGTGGCGCGGCCGTAGTCGTAATCGTCGTCGGCGGCGTGGCCGTTGTCCACCGCCACCTCGACGACGTCGTACTGAATGGCCTCCTCGGGCTGCGCGGTCACGTCGTTCCTGGCGTCGGTATTGGTGGCGCGGTTGTCGCAGTGGTGGTGGTCGTCCTTGGGCTGCCTGTTACGCAGTTCGTTATCGCACTGTGGCTGCCTGTTGCGCAGCTCGTGCTTGCACGCTCTCGCGGAGGGCGGTCGTAGCAATGGAAATGATGACGCAGGGTCGAGGCTGTATCCCATGCCGGACGTTATGCCCTCTTCCTGGGGGGCCGCGTCAGTTCGCGCTATCTTCCCGTATGCATGCATTGTATCGGCATCCATGCCAGTACGTCTCCACACAAAAGTGGGTAAGTCTCGTAGCCTTGTTGTTCAACAGCTGGTGGTTGATATTGCAGTCGCGGCTGATCACCTTGGTGCCATGGCGGCGTCCCCTGACCGCAGAAGCGGTTGGTGGGCTGAGGCAAGCCCGCCAGGCGCTCGGCGCGCGCGCGGGCGAGTGCGGGGACAGATCCCGCATATGGGCTTCATTATGTTCCTCATCCTTCTCCTGTTCCTTCCTTCCTTCTCCTCCTCCTCCTCCTCCTGCTCCTTCTGCTCTTGCTCCTCCTCCTGCTCCTCCCTCTGCTCCTACTCGTTACCCTCCTTCTGCTCAATTTCATCTTTGCCATGCGGCATGCGACTTCCCATCACTGGTCAAGGCGATCGGGCATCGAATCGAGAAGCAAGTCGCTCAACCTAATCACTGCAAACAAAGAGACGCCCCTTGCCCCTTCCTGGTCGTACCAGGCTGTATATCCTAGCGGCACTTTCCTCCTCCCCACGCACACGGAGCCCCGATGCCCGTTCCCCCCAGTCACCCGCGCACACGGCTTTGTCAACGGCTGGATCTTGCCGACTCCTGTGGCGCAGGACCCAACTCATCTTAGGTCGGGCGTGCCCTCCTGCAGGCGGATTTTGGAGTATTAAGAATTACAAAAAATATTCAGAAATAGCCCCAAATAGTCCAAACATCATCCCCCGACTATTTTGTTCGTATTTTTGAAAATTCCTCCTGTAGAGACAGACCCGACGTAAGACACATCGTGGGAATCCAGGCCTCTGAGACGCGCGCGTGGACCCCGTCTAAGCAAAACGCACCAGTTACCCCCCCCACACACACACACACAGGCCTCGCGCCACACATCCCGCCTCAAAGTCCATTGCTACGGACAATGGGAATTGACGATGCAGGTGTTTGCACCAGTGTGTAAAATTATCTGGTGAGATGCTCCCGCTGTGATCCCCGCTCTGCTCCGCAGACTTCCCCCCCTGCCCTTCCTGCCCCTCCTTGGCCATGGAGGGACAAAGGGCCCGTTGGAAACGGGTCCCGACGTAGGAGGCAAACGCAACACCACCCGCCACCAGGGACCACCGGCGGGAGGAGCCAGGGGGGTCCCCTGGCAGTGTGGTCCACCCTCTCGCTCGAGACGTCTCCTGTGCCCAGTTCGGGGAAGCATCGTGGACCTCCTCGCTTGAGGTGGCCCCCTTTTTAGTGATGGTGTCACTTCTCCTTCCCCTTCTGGCGGGTCTCGGTCTTCTTCTCCCGGAGTACAGTGCTTTTCGCAAGCATCTCCTCCTTCTCTGAGATCCGACGTTTGCGGAAACAAAGGCAACATCGCGGAGCCCTACCTTCTATCTTTCAGCGGCACTTTTCCATACATGCATTGTCCTGTGATTTGTGCTACACGGGGTCCCCAGAAGTCCTGACACGGGGTCCCCCGGGCCAGCTTTTCGTGCGGAGCCGTCTTTTCACGGTCCTGGGGCGCAGCGAGGGCCCCCGGAGGGCGAAAACTGCCCCCCCCCCCCCCCGTCGTGACTTTGTCCGCGGCACGAACAGATCTCGTTTTCGAGCCAGATCGATATGTGGCGCCCGAAAATACGCCATGAGAATATAACCACAACCGCCCTCCGCCGAACTTTGAATATACCTTCAGGGAGGGCGGCAGCCCATGGGTGATTTATACGCCGCCACCCTTCCCGGAGGCCCAGGAACAAGCCATGGGAGGGTGCCTGTGTCTCCAGCGGGGGCCCGACTACAAGAACCCTTCCACAAGAAGCCCAACCCCGAGACCCCAGGACGTCCATTGACTTCTGGTGAGGGAACGTCACGTTTACCGTCGCAACACCAGCGAAGCCCAAGAAATCCAGGGCACCCTGGAGTCACGCAGGGTGTTTCTTGGCATTGGCCTTCGGTCGGGCGTGTCCCCCTTCAGGCGGTGTTGGACGAAAAATAAGAAGCACCAGAAACATACTCAAACAAACATACCAAATAATCAAAATATCTGTTCCTGACTATTTCTTTTTCCTTTTATTTTTTCACATATATATATATATATTCCTTCTGTAGAGGGAAGCGCCGGACTTCACCTTGGCCCCCACCCTCCCCGGAGGCCCAGGAACGAGCAACGGGAGGGTGCCTGTGTCTGCTGTTCTGTGGCGGAGACAACCGGCAGACACGCCCGTGCGAAGCCACGCCCGGACCTCACGGAACAGGGCCTCCTCCCGCAGTGGCCCCTGGAGGGCCGCAGGTTTAGGTCGGGCATGTCCTCCTACAGGCAGGTTTTGGACGACAAGTTGAAACATAGCCAACAAATCACAAACAGTCAAACAACATCGAAACATCGTGCCCAAATGATGTTTATGTTTTACTATCTTTGACCATGCCACCTGTAGAGGGACATGCCCGACTGAACCGCGGGTCCGAGCACCACGCCCGCTACTCGAGGGCCGGCCGCGGCGCCGCAGAGCCGCCCGCGCGGAGGCACGGCGCGGGGGTCCTCGGGGGAGAAGAGGCCGGAGCAGCCCTCGTTGGGGCAGAGGCGGCGGCAGTCGCCTCGCGGGCGTCGCCCGTTCTGCGGCGACTCGTGGGGGCCTCCCGTGCCACGCTGATGGCTCTCGCGAACCGACGCTGGGTCGACGCTGGGCCGACGCTGAATCGGCACGGCATCTGCGCGAAGCGATGCCAGTCGACACCAGATCGGCGCTGCCCCATCGCTTACCCGACGCTGATCGACGCTAAGGCCTCAACACGACGTGGCGACGGCAGGTGAGGCTCCCATGACCTGCTGCCGAACGCGCGGGGCTGGGGGAGGGGCCTGGCTCAGGGTCGGAGGTGTTATCGGAGGGGCGCCAAGGATCGGACTCGAGGCTCGATGGTCGAGGCCTGCGGACGAAGTCGCCAGTTGTGCGACCTCGGGATGCGTTCCGGCAGCTGCGCCTGCGATCGCGATCCGGGCCGGTGGTGCCCGAGTCGCCCCAAGCTGACCCAGAGGTACGGGGGGGGAAGAGGGGGGGGACGAGGAAGCGGGTGCCTCCTCCTGCCCCTCCTCCCAACCTCCACCGCCCACCACCCTCCTCTGTCCTCATCAGCCTTCGGTTCCATCCCCCCCGCGCATGCGCTCCCTGGAACGCGCGGTGAAGGGGGAGGGAGAGGGAGGAGGAGGCCTGCCATCGCTCGGACGTCCATTCCCTGTGTTTTTTTTCGGTTTCGTGCGTGTTTTTTTCGCCAAGTGGTCAAGGATGCTCCTCGATGGTCCTCGCCGAAGGAAAAATGCACACGTCCGAGCGATGCCAAGGAGGAGGAGGCGCAGGAGGAGCAGGAGGGGGAAGACGAGGAGGAGGCGGGAGGGGGGGGAGGAGAGAAGGGTAGACGAAACCAAGGATACCTCGACGATGCTGCAGTACTCCCTCCCGTGCTGAGTCCCCTCTCGAGCAGTCCCTGCCACCCTGCCGCCCCACGGCCAGGAGCGCCCCGCGGGAGAGACGAGAGCCCGGGGGGCCTCCCACGCTCAGCTGCAGCGGAGGCCAGTCCACAAGAGGAACCTTCCACAAGAGACCCAAGCCCCGAGACCCCAGGACGTCCACGAACGTTTTGGTGTGGGAACGTCACGCTCTGCATAGCAACCCACCGGAACCCAAGAAACCCAAGAAACCCAGGGCACCCTGGAGGCAGGCAGGGTATTTCTCGGCATGGGTCTCCGCTGTAACAGCATCTAGCGAGAGCTCCTTTTGAAACGGAGCCGCCCTCCACCTGTTCAGGCTGCTGCAGAGCTCCACCCTCCTGGGTGTGCACCGCCGTGCCACCTGGCACGTTACAGCGTGGCAGAATGCCAAGTGCTGTCTGTTAGGGTTTCTGTAAGTCTTCGGTGGGCACCCTCTGCACGACCCACTGCCTTCACCATGCCCCCCCCCTCCTGGGGATCCCTGGGCGGCCAGATGCTTCTGCGGGGCTCTCCACGACGGCCAAGAAGGCTACGACGGCCGCGAATATGGCCCACCATTGCCCCCAAGAGGCGCTACAGGGGCCCCCAGAGGCTTCAAAGACAACAACGAGAAGCCCGCAAGGACCTCGACTGAGCCGAACATGAAGAAATCTGCTACCAGCCCTTTGGGCGCAGGAGGTCTCAGGAGTTAGGTTTTTAACCTCCTTCCTCCCCATCGAGGCGAGGTTCGCCTCTCCACAAAGAAACATTATGTATACGATCTCCTCTCTCCCCTGAGTCCGCGCGGAAGATAGATCGTCGGCCCTCTCCGCGCGATGTGGTTTTTACAAACATGATCAAAACCATTGATACCTCTTGCATGTTGCATTATCCGTTTTTCCGGTGCTTCAAAGTGGTGCTCCCGCTACAGCGTGTGCCTCATTTTCGGATCGACTCTCGCCCCAGCGTAAACCACCTTTCTGGATCCGAATCCTTTTTTCATCGTTGCCGCTCCATCATATCCCCTCCTTCGCTTTCCCCTGTCCTCCTTTTTCTCCCACTCCTTCCACTCCAGTTCCTGCTGCTGCTGCTCGTCCTAGCCCTCCTCAGTCCACATCCTCCTGCTCACCGGCCACTTCATCATCGTCATCCTCCTAGTGTGAACGCAGCTCTGGTGTTCTGATTGCGCACAACACGATGGGGTCCTTATTGCTGGACTTCAAGGGCGGCTATGACACGCATCGCAGGCAGAGAACGAATCCGCGCAGGGAGGCGAGCAAACCTGGTGCTTGCCCATGCCCCCTCTCCAAGGGTCTGGACGGGCCCCATCGGCGGCCGTGGGAGGGTGCAAACAACGGGCCCAAGAGAGCCTCCAGGATGGCACAAGATAGCCCAAGATGGCTCTGGATACCGAGCATTATAGATTGCAGCTAGAGCTTGCTAGAGCCAAAGCGCGCGAAGCCCGCGCGCGTGGTTGTAGTATACAAAATTGTGTATACATGAATGCAGCGACTCCTGGACGCGCGTGGTTTCTGGCTTCAAGCTCCCCATAGCCTCCAGGATGGCACAACCCGTATCATGAGGGCCGAAGGGCGAGGATGGGCCGAAGGGGCAAGGATGCAAGGGTACCTCTTGGAAGGTTGCCCATCCCTACTATGCGGGTTGACTGTGGCCTAGCCTGTCACATGCTTCCAAGAGGCTCCAAGGCCAGCCCCAGACGGCTCCACGTGGCCAAGGAAGGAGCCTCCCAACGAACCATCCGAGAGGCCCGACCTCCTTTCAAAACCTGAGGGGGCTCAATGATTGGTGTGCTCTTGCCTTTTCTCTTCCAGTCGGCGTTGGAGCTCTCGAGATGGCTCCCGGATGGCCCAAGGAAGCCCTGAGAGGCGCCCGAGAGGCGCCCAAGACGTCCTCAAGAGCGCCCAAGAAAGCGCCGAAGGGCTCCAAGAGGGGACCTGTAGGTTTCTGGCAGGGGGTCTACTCCGCCCTTTTGTTAAGTCGATCGCTTCCGAAATGTCCACAATGGGGTCCCCAAGGCCCCCAAGGAGGCCCCAAGAGAGACCTGAGAGAGCCCCAAGGACCTCCAGGCCAGCTCCAATAGAGCCCGAAAGAGCTCCAGCATGGCCCCAATATTTCCCGCAATGACTCAACTAGGCTTGCGTCCAAGAGGCCTTCAGAGCGAGAGGCTCGCAAATACTGTGATGGTTGACTCCTATCTTCGTCGTCGTCTTCATCTCCATCTTCCTCTCCCTCCTCTTATCATTCCTCCTCCTCCTCCTCCTGCTCCTCGTACCTAATCGTCCTCATCTTCCTCTCCCCGTCCCCTCCTTCCACCCTCCCTCCTCCTCCTCCTCATCATCATCCTCCTTCGATTCCTCCTCCTTCCTCCTTCAATTTCCAAATGTAACGGCTGCCCCATCACTGTGCCACTGCATGATACGTTGTACCAGGCTTCCCTGATCAGGGGAACTCGTCTAGTAATCATGTTGGAATAGGCTGGTGGGGATACGCGAGGCGTCCATAGTAAAGTGAATGACTGTAGAGCTTCCATGGGCGCTCGCCTCAAGATGGTTCCAAGAGGGCCCCGGAGGGCCCCAAGACGGCCCAAAAGAGGAGGGGCTCAAGACAGCCCAAGATGGCGAAAGACGACCGAAAAAGGGCCCCAAGGCAGCCCCAATATATTCTCCAAGCATCCGAGATGGGGGCCTCGCCAGACGGCCTAAGAATGCCCCAATAATGCCCAAGCGCCCCAAGAGGGACCAAGAGGAGCCAAAGGCAGCCCCCAAGAGGCCCAGGTAGCCCCTCTAAGGCCCACGGGTACAACAGCCGTTTTGGCTGTACTCGAAGCGTCGCGGCACAGACTGCTGCGCTGGCATTGTGGCGGGACTTCCCGCAGGAAGCTGCGAAACTCTCATTGCAGGCCGACCTTGACCACATTCGTTGGGCCACTGCACTCAGGATGTGTATATCATGTGGTGCAAGCTATGCGTTGGAAGCTATGTGGTGCAAGCTATATGGTGCAAGATATGCGGCGCAAACTATGCGTGGTGCAAGCTATGTGGTGCAAGCTGTGTGGACCAAGCTATGAGCGCAATCAATGTGACATGAACTATGCGGTACAAGCAAAGCTGTGTCGTGCAGGCTATGTGGTGCACGCTATTCGGCACACGCTGTGTTTAAGCCACGTGCGGCAAGCGACGTGGTGAATTCTAGGTGGTGCAGCGTACACGGTGCAGCCAATGCAGCTCAATACGATATTATATGTGCATATACATGTGTAAATATATACATGTATATTATTATTACTATTATTATTATTATTATTATGTATGCTGTCATACGGGCTATGCGGTGCAGCCTACGTGCTGCAAGCTGTGTGGTGCAGGCGTTGTGGTGCAGGCCGTGAGGTGCAGAAGCGAGCTCTGTGGTCTGAGCCAGGCGGCGCGACAGACGGGGTGGCCACGCGGCGCCACCGGGCGAGCCTCCAGCGAGCACCCTCTGCCATCCCACCCCACGCACGGGGCGCCCGTGGGCCGCCGACGGCCGGACCACGGGCGCCAAACACCTTTCGACGCCCCCACCGCCGCACGGGGCGCCCCCACAGAGAGAGCCCGCGGCCGCCCGCCGGGCACGGGCTCCCGAAGCCCCGGCCACCGCGGCCGGGCGTCCACGGAGCGCCCGCAGCCAGGCGCCCGCAACAGCCAGCCACCTGGCACCGCCAGAGAGCTGTTCGGCCTCAAGTGCAAGCGCTGCTTGGGAGCTTCGTGCCCAGTGCCTCTCAGATGTGCCGTGGGTTCTCTGCTACACGCTGTGGCACGCGCCTGCCACAACCACCATGTCGCATGGATGACCGTGCCCATGCGAGATCGCCCGGGCTCAGCAGATGTGACCACAACGAGGCGCCCAACTCAAGGGGGGAAGAGAGGATGAGCAAAGCCTCGATTGATGGAATACGCATTGCGAATTAAACTAGCAGATATGCCAGAGAGTGCTGGTCGCAGACATCGGATACAACCACAATTGCAGAAACGCGGGCATGGAAGAAGACTCGTACAGGCAGTACATTTCACGCTATGCTTTGCAACGCATTGCCAATGGGCTGAGTTGCATTCCCCAAGATGAAGACGGAATC